GGGGGGGGGGGGGGCCCCCGGCCGCGGGGCGGGGGGCGGCGGGGGCTGCCGGGGCGGGGTGCGCGCCCCTCCGCGCGGGCAGACCGGCGTTTCCCGGCGCCAGGAGCGCGGTGCGCTCGGCCCGCGCCGTGCAGCACGGGGAGGGCGTTCGGTGAGGCCGAGGGTCTCCCCGATCGCAGGCATCGGTTTCCTCGCGAAGGCGTGGGGGGAACGGCGATGCCGGAGCTGCCCTTGCTGCAGCTCTGCCGCTCCCGCCTACCCCCGGACCCGCCTCCGGGCGTGCTCCCGTTCAAGCTCCTCTTGAACTTCACGAGCAGTCCCATGTTGAGGAATTTGTGTGAGTCCGAAGCTAAGCACGTTATTAATGGGGAATTTCGAAAGGAGGTCCGGCTCCTGTTGAAACTGCGGTGGAGTTGTTCGAAGAGAAGGGCCGAAAAAAATGCTGCTGTGTTGCAGTGCTGCTCCCGTGCGCACCGATGGGCTTGTTGCTAAAGGGTTAAACGTGCTCACGTCCCATGGCCTGGGATAGCGCTGCTGTCGTGTTCGGTGATTATTTTTTTTGTACCGTGCAAAGGAGGTGCTATTTAGTTTGGTCATTTATACGTTCATACCGGTTTTCTGAAAGAGTCGGTGCAAAAAATAGTGGAGTATATTCTTTTTATTTCTAAAGGGAAAAAATATGTATACTTAAAACCTTTAATATGAAGATGATGTAAACCTGAGTGTTATTTCACAGCTATTTAAGGTCAGATTCCTTGGAAAGTACATTCATTTTTCAAAGAGACAACACTTTACTTTTTAGAAACTCTTTTGTCTTTATATCAAAATTAGCAAACTTTTTGGTAACTAATGGTAACTATAATAATTGAAGTTTCAAAGATTTGGGGAAGCAAAGGCATAGTACTTAATAGCATGATATTCTTTTGTCTTTCAGAAATACAAATATAATGTCAGGTGGCTGAAAATTTGCCTATCAAAATGTCAAGTAAGTTTTCAGATTTTTCTTCCTTTAACTTGATGAATTAAAGATCTGGTTCAGCAGAACCTGTTTGTGAGATTCCTTGCATTAAAAGGAATGATACGAGGTATAGTCATTTCTGACCAAACTCTTGGCCTTAAATCTTGCTGTGGCTGATTTCTGGTATATTGTTTTCATAGAAAATCCGGATATCACAGCTTATCCTAAATCCTGTTTCACTGCATTTTTGCTTACCCTGTTTTTAATTGAGGTGCATATAAATGGATTTCACATTCTTCACTCTTATGGCTAAATAAAAGGCTACCAATATAGCAATGGCGTGATCTTAATTTTTTTCTTTCTTTTCTTTCTCTTCTGTTCTTTGCTTTACACTCTTCAGTGGCAAAATGCAAAGTCTTTGAGAGTAGGTTTCTGTCTTATTTTTGTAAATCACTTAAAAATGTTTGACACAGCAGATGCCTTATAAAGAATTCATTCAAATCTTCAAGAAAAAAAATGCTTACATTTATATCTTAACAGAAAGGCCATCTTACGCCCCACCTCCTACCCCAGCTCCTGCAACCGTAAGTATAGTGATTTTTCTCATTAACACAGATTTGGTAATATAGCCTTTAATAACTTACCAGAGCAATAATTATGGAGTTGCATTACCTTCCTGTATTGGAAACACAGACTAGTTGCATTTCATTATTAATATGACATGTGTTGTTTAAATTAATCTCTTCTTTTTTTTTTAAAGCAGTTTGTGAAAGAGAAGCTGAATAAACTTGTTTCATCTTTGAGGCTAGATCCTGCAGATACTTAATTTTCTGTAAGCAGTCAGTTGGTCTAAAATTATATTCACAGTGAGTTGCAACAGTACACTGGAATATTTAAGAACAAACCGATCTATTCTAAAACTTCCCACTCAACTTGTGCCCAAATCATGGGCAAACAGTGCGTTTTTTCATGTTTCTGTTGTACCTAGCCGATTTTCAGTGGAATGCAGGAGTATGCAAAACACTGCTATATTGGGTCAGAATAATGAAGTGCTCGTGATGACAGTCTTATTCAAATTTCTTGAAATCACTGGTAGTTTGGCATCTATGGCATGAGAAATACTTTACTTTCTAGTAAAATGGTATGGAATGACACTTAGGAAAACATGAACAGTAGCTTTGAATCATGTCCAGTTGCATTCATGCATGTATAAAAAGGTGCTGAAATACCAGTATGCTGCCGTCAGGAAAGCATTTGAAAGCAAATGTACCTCTTCCGTAGCCTTTACATTTCTAAATAGCTTGCATTTTAGGAGTAACGTATTCACATGAGAAAATACAAATCTCTTGTACAGAAGAATGAGCAAAGATGCTATAGTGAGGTTTTTTTACCAAAAGAAAATTTGAAACTGTTACCCAGTAGGGTGTTCCTGATCTCTGCATCTGAGATGAAAACTGCAGGATGGGATTTAGATGAAATGTGATCCTCCAAATTTGTTGTGCCATACTTCACATTTAAAGAGGCTTGAAAATGATATAATGTATAAACAAGTTATGTTCTTAAAAATTTACATAAATAAAACTTTATTTGCTTAGTTTGTTCAGAGTTTTCATTTTGCACACAACTTAATAGATTTGTGCCAGTATTGGAAGGAACATGATGGCATCCACTCTTACAGCTGGATTCCTGCATCGAGAGCTGTGCATATTCATGTGTGATTCCTGTGGGATGTAGCATGGATACAGATGTTCTTAACGGTCTATATTGATGTGGTATATTCTTTAGTCAAGTTAGAAGTCTTCAGAAGGGTACATGAAACAAATTTCAAAACTGCAACTAGTGACATGTATTACCTGTCTTTTCAAGCATCTTCTGTATTACTTGTATTTTATACAGTTGTCCTTGAGATGATGGTCTGTGCTCTCTTAATGCAAGTCATAAAAGAAAAGTAGACAAATAACCTTGCTTGTTCTTCCACAGCCAGTTGCTACAATCAACAAAATAACCGGTAGTTCTCATAACTACAGTATTATAGCTGAAGTAACAATTCTCCGTGTAATGCAAGGTAGTTCCCTTGTAACATTTAAATCCTGTCTTGCAGAAATAAAGAATTAAGCAGACGGAGATTACAATTGTCATCTGATTTTATTGAAGAGGTGTAGTTCAACATATTCAAAACCTGTTGTTATGGTAATACAGAAAACTTTAGTAAAATGGCGTCTTATTAAATAGTGAATGTGTATGTCATGATCACAGGCATACGGACTGAGTAAATGTCAACTGCTGTGAATGAGTTTAAAAAGTTTGGCAATAAAATGTATATTTGAAGGCTGACTGTTAAAGGATAAATTTACTCTGTATTTGTATGTTTAGAAATAAACTAACTACAGTGTGTCTACATATACTTGGAAAATTTCACAAGTTAATGTAGTTTAGCTTATAGGTTATTTTCGTTCAGTGTTTGTATTTGTCATACCTTGGTTCTTGGAGTCCTGAACCTATTTGTAGAATTTTTGTAACTGTAATCTAGAATGGGTCCAGTCAGCAAATAGCCTTAAAAGACTATTGGAATAAGTGTTTCTTATTAGGGCCAAAGTGCCACTAAAGAGTGGGACACTGTGTGGATGACACTTAAATGTCTAGAAACACTACAGGCTATCATGAATCCTAATGGAATGATAGGACCACCACAGTCAGGACTTGATCACAATTACTATTAAATAGTTGATCCATTTTTTCCTAACAAATTTGATTGGGAAGTGGGGGGTAATGGGAAAAGGCTGGAGAGAGATTTATGTGGGGAGGGGAACACAGTGAACTTTCTGATACTTGATTGTATGTAGATGATGGGTGAGAAGGGATTGTAAAGAAACTAGATTCTTCTCTACATTACTGAGGTGAGAATGAATCGAATGAATTCAAGAATGAATGAAGATGTGTTGATTAACTTCTGAAATTGTCTTGGATTCAGTGATCTGTTAAGACTAGTTATAGTTTCTAACCTGTAGGTTTTATTGCAGTGGTTCCTCAACTCTGTCAGTCTGCAGCCTACCTCATAACAGAAGGATATCTCTGTGAATTGTCTTCTCTCCCAGCTTTCTAATCCCAATTCCCCAAAACATTTAAATTTTGCAAACCACCAGGAAAGTCTTCAGATACTGGTAGTTGTGCACAGATGGTGCTTTGGGAGATTTTTTTTTTCTTTTCCTATTTATTGACAGTGTAATATTTGTTGGAAAGGCAGAAGGATGGGAAGAAGAGCAGACAGGGATTTTCATTGGTACTGTAAATGTTGATGCTAGGGATTTCTGCCTGATTACTGTGTGCTGTGTTGCCTTGTAAGCTTAACCCTTTGGATATAATACTCTTTCTGAATTATTTGGTGGCTTATGTTGGAAAATTTTATTAGCCATGAGCTGGATTTATAGAAGACTTGTTTAAATGAGTTACGCACTCAATAGAAATAAAATCACCAACTTTAGACAGAAATTTGTAGTGACACATTTGCTTAAAAATCCTGTTTTATTAATAGGTTTTTACTGGAGTAAGTTTTGTGTGTTGAGAAGATACCAACTGCTACACCTCATTTGCTTGTTTAAATTCTGGTTGCTTTTGCATGCCATATGCAGTTCATTTTCATTTCTGTGTTTTCCTCGTTTGAGCTCATTTCTCATTCGTGTTTTTGTCTCATTTGTTTCCATCAGCAAATGCCCAGCACACCAGGGTTTGTGGGATACAATCCATACAGCCATCTGGCCTACAACAACTACAGGCTGGGAGGGAACCCGGGCACCAACAGCCGGGTCACGGTAGGAGAATCAACTATTACATCATCTGGCAAACAACAGGAATTGACCAGAAATGGCTTTAGAGTTAGGTTCTTCTGAATCTTGGCTGCTGCCACTTCTTTATAAAAACAAAAAAATACTTCTGATTCTTATTCCCCACCCCTACCCCTTCCCTTTCACTCTGAAACCTTTTGCAGGAAAATGGACTTCTACTCAGCAGAGAAAAAAAAAAAATGTGGTAATCGTGTATGATGCAGAACTCCAGAAAGACAGACTTTGTGGTCTTCAGTGACCACCGCATGCTTAGGGAAAAGTTCTGTAGCATGGGTACAAATTCTTGGAGGGAGGGAACTGCTCGTTTTATTGAGGTTTATTAGCACAAAAATAAGGAAGAACATTTTGCAAACTGGAGATCATTGATAGTAGTTGCATCGTACTGTTGAGCCATGCAAGAGATGCAAGCCTTTATTTTTCTTTCCAGTCTTAGTCTGGTAATAAATGCAAAGTCCCAAGTTCAGAAATTATTTTTTTCAATAAAAGTGTGATGATGATAAAACAGAATCCTTTCAGATCTTATGTACTCTGTCAGTGTGTGGAAAATGGATGTTACATTCATTTTTCATGGAGTAAACAAAGTGAGATAGAGTCAAGTGATGAGAGGGGTGAAAGCTTGTTTCAAGTACAGATAAAGTCCTGAGCATTGGATGCAGTTAGGAAACAAAAATAGACTGTGGAAGTGTAACATTTTCATAACTAACAACAGAAAAAAATTAAATCCCTGATTTTTTTTTTAATTTCTGTAATTCTCGTAACTTTAAGGGTTTTTGTGTAAAACTTTCTATGTCAAAACATCAGATTAGTTTGGAATGTGATATAACGATTTCTCAAGGAACAAATATATGGTGCTTTTAATGAAGTGTATTCTTTTTATGCCTCTCATATAAACCTTCTTTCAAACTTCATATATGAAGTTCATCTGATTTGTTAAAACATTTACAGAAAAGACCTTCCCCGTACAAGCTGGAACTTGACTGAACGTACATATACTTTTTTCCTTATACAAGAATAAGTTAGGTTTTGTCTGAGAACTTTCATTGTTTCTGTATGTCATAAGCATACACAGCCTTCTCTGCCATGCATATATCAATATATGTATGGTGTCTTTAAATTCCTGTTAATTTAAAAGCATTAAACAATTTCCGTTAATGTTTTTCAAATCCATCTGTATGTGTATATATGTATACATTTTGGTAATGCATATACCTCATGTACATTATTTATATCTATACACAATTCTGTATGCATTGTTTCATAGAGCTCCATAAATTCAGCAAAACAAAAAATACCAAGAGGAAAAATTGGAAAGCTGAATACTGAACATGAGCCTTCTTGGCCAAATCCAAGTATTTGCTTATCTGTGGCCGTAGTCCTGAAAAATATTGAAACTGCTTTATATTTTTATGAAAACACTCCCACTTAACGTATAATGGAACTCCTAGCATGTGTAAGTGCTTGAAGAGTAGAGGTTTTCAGAACCTGCAGTTGACGGGGACTGTAACGTTACTGCATTATTTTAGGAGAAAACCCTGTCAGGTGTCTTGTAGACTGAGGGGACCAGAGGGGATGCAGCAACTTTCAATCAGCAACGGTTAGTGCTCAGTGTCCTTTTGTTTAGTGCGAGCAATGTGCTTGACATTGTACAAACCTAAAGGAAGATAAGAGCACAGAAGGGTATTACAGGCTAATTTGGACAATTAAGTACAGCTTGGATACAAATAATGCACACCTTGACAGATCAGGTGCATAGGGTTGTTTTCTTCTTACAGTGAGTAGTTTAATTGGCTCCAAATTACCACTGACCTATTTTGCAGATAAATATATTGCTAAAATGATTTGAAAATGAAAATGTCTCTAACTTCATGATCTTAAACTTTCTCCTTATCTTTTTTTCACCTGTACAGTAGCCACAGTAAATTTGTCAAAACAGGTACAATAAATTGCTCATCAGAAGTGAGAAAAGCAACCTGTTGGGATTGGTGTTTCCATGTAAATTTCTGAGCTGTGTGTTTCAGTTTTAAGAATATGGAGCCCTTTTGAAGATTTATCTAGTTACTACTCTGTAAACCTACAGATAAAAGGACAAACTTAAATTGGAAAAATATTACTGTGAGGACCAGCTGTAGTTAGTACCTGTTCACAGTTTGGGTAATTTTTTTGCTGATGCCTGTTTCTCTTGGTGGGGAGGGGTGTAGTTTGTTTGTGTTAACTGCACAAGAATGAGTGTTTTCCAAAACTAGTGTATATGGAAACTGCCAGCGATCACATTAACAAATGGATTTATTCGGTTCTTTTATAGGCTTCCTCTGGTATTACCATTCCAAAGCCCCCCAAACCCCCAGACAAGCCCCTGATGCCCTACATGAGGTACAGCCGGAAGGTGGGTATACAGTGTCAAACAAGTAATAATAAAAGTTAGTGTTTGTATGTGCTAACAATTAATTGCTATTATCTTAGTTTCAGCTTCTAAACTTTTACTTCTAACAGCCTGCACATTCTTTTAAGGGAATTGTAAAGTACAGATGCATTGCCCTTCAGAATAAAGGCAGCAGTAGTCTGTTCATACAGTTGCCAATTTCTGGGGGGAAAAGTTTTCTCTAAAATGATAATTACTACCACTGTCTCTGCTGACAAGGATCCACCCTGCCACATTGAGAAGTGCCTGTGACTTACTGACAGAACTTTTTTATATAAAGGAAGTATTCCTTGCGGTATACTGAGCTTGGTACAGTGCTGTAGCTGGACTGAAGAGTAGCAATGAGTGGACTTTGCATGTTCTCCTTCACCAACCTAGCCTGTGGCAACGTTTACTTCGCTATTCTATGAACTGTTTGACAGAAAGTAGGAGAGAGACTCTTGTGGAGTCTGAAATCTGATGGGGCATGGGGAGGGCATGTCAGCCTGTCTGAAGCGGGTGAGCCAGAAGGAATTTCTTCCACTTCTGGTAAAGTATCTTTACCAGCATGTCTGTCTTAGGCAAAAAACCATCAACAAAAAAAAAGTCAAGTGGCGCAGCAAGAAATAACACTGGCAGCTTTCTTTTTTTTTTTTTTTTTTCCCTATAAAGTTAGAAACTTTTTTGGTGGAGTCAGAACTTGTTGGAACTCAAATTGATCAGCAAGACTGAAAAATATTTTGAAATGTTACATTCTGATCTGAAAAGCTCAGTGCTCTTTATCATAATCTACTGCTGGATGTGTTTACTCAGTAGCATTTTTTTTTTCCCAGAGATGCAGCGATGTGCATTTAAGAAGAGAATTAAGAGGGTTAAAGGCAATATTCTCATGAAACCAAAGCCATTTCAGCAATTGCCTGTTTCAGTAGATGGCTTCCTACTGACTTCCTGCCCCAGAAAATAATCGAGATAGTTTAGCCAGACTCATTCCTAACTTAATCCTGTTTTTCATGGTGATTCCAGAAAGAACACTGAGATGACAATATAAAATGTTTAATTTGGAAGTATTTAGATATCATTAGTAAAGCTCCAGCTGTTTCTGTTAAGGTCTGGGACCAAGTGAAGGCGTCCAATCCTGATTTGAAGTTATGGGAAATTGGCAAGATTATTGGAGGAATGTGGCGAGATCTCACTGATGAAGAGAAGCAAGAGTATTTGAATGAATATGAAGCTGAAAAGGTAAATGGAAGAAATCTGGGATGTTTATTACAGCTGATTCTTCTAGGAACTGGTCTGAGAAGAAAAATTCATCTTACCCATGCAGTGGTGTATGAGGCATTCACGAGACCCCTGTATGTAACTTAAATGGAAGTATGTCCTGACACGTCTTTTAGATTTTTTTTTTTAAATAACTGTACATCAACTGTGACTGGTCAGTTTTTAGACCTAATTCAAAATGAAGTATTTATAATTGAGTGTCAATTTTAACTGTTTAATGAATGGATTTGATTGTACAACATCAGTATTGAAAAGATTGTCTCAACACCAAAATCCTCTTTCAAAACTGGTGCTCTGCAACTACTGCTATTGTCATGAACGTGTTCATAAAAGACTTCCAGTCACGTAGGGTTTGGTTTTCATGGTGTAATCTGGTATAACTCCACGCTATGGCATAGTGTTTTGTTTCTTAATAGAAAAATGCTACCACTTTTAGGGTTTTCTCGTGGCTTGGTTTTGTTTTTATTGATCTTCATGACGAAAGATGACAGCTACCTCGTGTCTAGGGTGGTAAGTGTTGAGGACTTTTACAAGACTGTTACTGTGATCTTAAGGTACAAAGGGAAAACTGTCCAGCTGCTGTGCTGTGCTTAAACCTGGTAGGCATCTGAGGCTGTGTATAACCTGGTCAAATCTAAGCTGTTTTTATTCCAAGTCAATAGAGAAGTACTTCAAAGCCGGATGCTCTTAGTTGGGGAAAAAAAAAAAATCAAGGCATTCTATTTTTTAACTTGGTAATGATGTTTAGATTGTAAGCTCCTTGGGGCAGGGGCCATCTTGTTTATATTTTTACAGTGCCTAGGTAGAAGGATTCCAGTCCTAATCATAAAGAAAACAAGATGTTTAGGTACTTTTAACAATACTGTAGATTATATCTCATTTTTCATTGGAAATATCTCAAATCACTGTACAAAATCTAGACTTGGCAAATTTTAAAAGGGAGATTGAAGGAAACAGTTCAAAGGGAAAAAACACTTCAAAGAAGGTGAAAATAGTGATGCAGTCCTGCTACCAGGAGGAGACAGTAGTCTGGCTGCAGCATTCCATATCATCCCATTGCAGGGATGGATCAAAGAATGGAAAAATCGTAACTTATTTTGAAAACTGGTTCATGACATACTGGAATAAGGAAGGATAAGAAATCAGAATCAAAGATCTAGTCAGAACTCCAGAGAATTATTGAGAATATTTCAAGTTAACTCATTTTTTTTATCTTACCAGCGTTCGTCTGATCATAAATGCCTTGTTCTGAGGTGTTTGATTTTTAAATCTCAGAAAACAAAGCTATCGTAAGACTTCTCAGGTATTACAACTGAAATGTACCTAAAAGCCCAGCTAGTGTTCTTAAAACATGAATGACTACAGAAGAAGTTCTAATTTGTAAAAAGAGAGACTGAGAGAATATGGTCATTTGTGTATCAGCCAGGTGATTCGAAATAGCTTTGTCTGTATAACTACAATTTGAGTTATACAGACTACAGTTATGTCAAGTCTGAAATCGTCCAATGGTGCAATCAAACAATATTGGTCACATTTCAGATAGAGTACAATGAGTCCATGAAGGCCTACCATAACTCTCCTGCATACCTTGCCTACATCAATGCAAAAAGTCGTGCTGAGGCTGCGTTAGAAGAAGAAAGCCGGCAAAGGCAGTCACGCATGGAGAAGGGTGAACCTTACATGAGTATACAGCCAGCAGAAGATCCAGATGGTAAGCAGAAAGGAATTTGTGTGCACATCCAGTGAGACAGTCTCATTACAGGACCAACAGTATAGAGAAACGGACGCCAGATATGGGAAACTACCAGTGTACAGCTTTCACAGTGCTTAACATGACTTCCTTTCTATTTTGGTACCTTTAATACTGATTTTCATTACCACGTTTTATTTCATACAGCTAACAGCTGACTTTGTTTCCAAAAACTAAGGTGGCAAGCCAGTGGCAAAAGTTATTCCAACCCTTAATTACGTGTGAAGTAATGCTTACAGTTCAAAACAAATAAGTCTGCTTAAAGCTCTGTAATGGCTTTAACATATGCATTATAAAAGGCTTACATGCCTGATTTAATCCAGCTTGAACGGAATTTTGTGCTTCCATCAGAAGCACATAATTCTGACAGGCAGAGTTCTGGTATGATTAAGAGCACCTGAACTTTGAATGTGTTCAACAACTGTCACTTGAGATTGTTTAGAGAATAAGTTACCCTTGCTGTTGGCAAGTTGATGAGAAAATTCTGAAAGTTTATTGGACTGCAAGGAAGTGCACCCCACCCAGTGGGAAAACTCAGACTCATGCACCTAATGTCTACTTTTAAATTCATGACCAAGTACTTGTTGAAACCTGAGGGTGAAAAATGTACTCAGTCCGTTACACCCTTTTTCTTTCTTCCCCCTTGTAAAAGCACACCCTTGAGATAAAGCTCGTGACAAACAGCACTTTCCCCAGTGTGAGGTAACTGTAGAATTTATGTAAATACATTTAGCGTTCCAGTAGCTGGCATTTTGGGACTTCAAATTCTGTTCTGTGCTACCTGGGCCAAGTGAACTCAGCCAGAACCAGCTGCGCTAGGCCCTGAGTTGCATCTGTTTACATCTGGGACAAAACAGCAGGTTGTTTTCTGTGACAGAAATGTTGCTTCTGTCTGATCCTGCGTGTCACTAGGATCAGGAACTTTTAGCATAAAAGGAATCTTATGAAGAGGAGAAAGGCACAACTTTAAGGAGACCAGTTTGCTTAGTACTTTGTCTCTTGCAAATCTATAGTCTTCCCACTAGTTTTCTCTTTCCACTTCATTTAATCAGATACCTCAATGAGAAATTGAACATAACAGTTTGAAATAAAGCAGATAGAAACTTTCATTAAACTAGCTACCTTCTTTGGTAATATTTTCTGGCATGATATGTTGATGATATATGAATGGTTGGAGAGTAACCTCCATTAGGAAAACTTGATGTAAAATAAATTCAACTTCTGGACTTTTCTACATGACATCATTCTGGAAGATAATTTGTACTTGTTGCTTAACATTTTAATACTCAACTAAATACGAATTATACTCTCAGAAGTTTCTTCTAAGTTTGTTTCCTCACCAATACTTAATGCTATTTAATTACTGTGCTTTAAATTCTAATTAGTTTGAGTTAAATTTTTTTGAGTCTGTTTTGTAGATAGGTTCTTGATACCAAAACTGCAGACTGTGGTTTGATTTTTTTATTACGTTGAAAGGCTTTGCCTGCTTTCCTTGAAGAGAGATAGAAAGTCACAGCGTAGGAAGCCTTCTGTTTTCTATGGGCTGGAAGCTTTTGAGTGCTGCTAGATATAGGGAAACACGTTATTTTGTTCTGCTTTGTAGCATTAAACTGAATTTTACTTTTAAAATTAGTACCTAGTACAATCCATAATGTTGTAGTTCACGTTAAATTCTGTAACTAGATTAAAACTGTCAAAGTCCAGTATCTTGCCATAAAGTGGAAGCTCTTTTAATTTGATAGGAGAGAAAAAAAAAAATCTTTGACCTGAAATATTCTTAGATCTTTGTTGTTAATCCTCTAGATGCCTGTCAGACAAGACAGTTTAGTTCATGTTGGGCTTCCTTTAATTTCTTTTCTCTGCAAGAAGCTTATAAGGAGACCAGCACTTGACCTATGTGCTTGTGTACTTTTTCTCCTAAAGTGTGTTAGGTTTTTTTTTTTCAGTAACTGTTCTTTAGAGAACTGCATTTACCAAAAAAAAAAAAAAATTTGAATACCCTTATTACATTACTATGAATTTTCAGTGATGAGTAAACGTATCACTGCTTCATACTTTCATTCCTCAATGTTTCAAAAAATAAGTCTCTTTGATCTGTGCTACAAAGCTTATTTATAGAGGAGTCACTCTCCTGTTGGTATTTTGTGCTGGATATTGTTCTGGTTACATGGTTAATCAGGAATGGGGGTTTTTATTCAGTGTATTAATAGTCCCTCTTACTCTGGAAATGTGGAAAGCAACGCAGTAAATAACTAGGTCAATCCAAATTTCAGACATGGGAAATGCGTATAAAATCATAGCTGTTACAGCTGTGCCAGGGTAAATGGTGTTCTATCCTCACATTGTCTTTTTTCTGATTACCTGATGTTCTATATTTGTTAGTATGAACTTCATGACATGACAGCAAGTGGTGTTAGGGGTTTTATTTTGTTTTTATTTAGTGGTAATGTGGGTACAGTGGCATTGGACTTGGTCCTCATTTTGTGGAATTAAAGCAGTTGCACTTCAAACTCTTGTTTCAGATTACGATGATGGATTTTCTATGAAGCACACAGCCACAGCTCGTTTCCAAAGAAACCATCGTCTCATCAGTGAGATACTGAGTGAAAGTGTGGTGCCCGATGTCCGCTCTGTTGTCACTACAGCTAGAATGCAAGTTCTGAAACGCCAGGTTCAGTCTTTAATGGTTCATCAGGTAAAGATAAATTATATGAAGACAGCTAAAACATAATGGTGTTGGGCTGTACTCCAAGTCTCGGATCATTTGATCATCTACATGACTATTCTTGTTGGGTGTCAATGTTCTGTACGCTCGAATAACTAATCTCTGGGTTTTCTTGGGAGCTGCAAGATGTGAGACTTCACCTTCTGTGCTGTTTTGTTACTGAGAGTCACGTTAAACTGTATTTTGTTCTTTAGGATATTTTCAGTATTAATTCCATAGCTCTTCATTATTATACATAACCCTTCTGTATGTAGTGCAGGTCTTCTGTTTAATAGGTACAGGTAGACTTGTGACTTTCAGGTAGCTTATGACTCATAATCTTGTTTGTAATGATTCTTCATGACAGTAAATCGTCCCTGTTGTAACATTTTTCATGGACAGTTAAATGCGTACAAGGAAATCTAGTGAGGTCGCACTTGCGCGTTTCACCTAGCTTTGACTGGGCATATGCCTGTATTTTCCAAACAAGCATGTAAACAAAAGAACCCTGTCAGTATAGTCAGTGTACATGTAGGTGAAGAAAACTGAGAGACCAGAATGAGAGAGAGATTTGTTGCTTTTTTAATTAACAAAGAAGATTCGGGGGGTGGAGGGGCATGGTATCCCTTCTTTCCTTCGAGTTGTGGTCTTTCTGCATTAGAGAATGTAATTGATGGGGGGGGGTGTATATATACCTATGGGGTGTATAATATAAAAGAAAATGCGTAGATTTTATGCTGGAAAATTCACCTCAAGTATATACTGTTTTTCATTTATAATATGCCTAGCCAATCCTGAATTACTGCATAGACCCTTTATTGGTCATACTTTCCAATATGAACTTCTTACCTATTGGGTATTAGATCAAGGAAGAAGACATAAGGATGTTTATATGTGGGTTTATTTTAAAATACTGGTCTAAATATTTTTGTACGTAACTGTGAACTTTGTCCAGTTCTTCAGATGACTGCATAGTAAGGTTCTTACCATTTATTTCATTTCCAGCGTAAACTAGAAGCTGAGCTTTTGCAAATCGAAGAGCGTCACCAGGAAAAGAAGAGGAAGTTTTTGGAAAGCACAGAATCCTTTAACAATGAGCTTAAAAGGGTACAACTCTTGCTTTTCTCCACTTACTCTGAGGAATCTGCTAGTTACCCATTTGTACAAGTGCTCTACCCGCTTCTGTTCAGTTCTGTATTCAGTTCTGTATAATTACACAACTGATGACTGCAGTGTCCTAGTGTGTGGGTGTTGGGAAGCACGCAGTGTTTGTATTATTTCATGCTCCTTCAGTGACCTTTAGTGGTGACATTCAGCCGGTACAGTTTAAAAGTGCCTTCAGGCTTGACTGGTTGAGTTCACGAGAGAGCAGCTCAAGGAAGGTGGCCTAAAGCCACTGTGGAGAACATACTGCTCTGTCCTTGGCTGCGTTCAAATAACAAGTTTAGGTTGTTTATTTATCCCCCCCCCCTTTGTTAATATGCTTGTATCTCCCTCCCTAGTTACTGAAGCTTTTAATATAAACTTTGTCAAATCAAAAGAATTATGCTGCATGTAGAAATACTGAACTCATAATTGGGTTTTACTGATGTTTTGGTTTTCAAAGTAATTGGGATAGTAAAAGAGCTTTCCTTTTTTTCTTTTTTTTAATTTCTAGTTATGCAGTTTGAAGGTAGAAGTGGATATGGAAAAAATTGCAGCTGAAATTGCTCAAGCTGAGGAACAGGCTCGCAAGAGGCAGGAGGAAAGGGAAAAAGAAGCAGCTGAGCAAGCCGAACGCAGTCAGAGTAACATAGCAGCTGAGGAAGAACAGGCAGCTAACAAGATAGAGGAGAAGAAGGAAGAGGAGAGTGCTCCGATGGAGACAGGTAACTGCATTTGAAGACCAGCTTCAGAATCCTCGAAGGATCAGCATTAAAGTATCTCTGTAGAGGCTCAGCTTAGCCAGGAGGAGCGCCCTGGTTTTTTGCTGTTAGTAGGAAGAAAGGCTTCAGAAGAACAACATTCAGAATAGTTCGCTTCATCTTGGTGAACACGGGTGTTTGCTTTCTTCTCATTAAATTGCCGCTTTTAAAAAGGGGAGAGGATAAGATGCCACAAAGCCGTATGTCATGCTTTGTGTGTAATGTACCCAAGGGGGGGAAAAACGCTTTCTAAACCTAACTCACCTTTTAGACATCGGTTAGCTAGGAGCAACTGAGAGCATTTCCTTGTCCCAGTGTCAGCGTCTAGCAAGGATGATAGAACAGCACTTCTTTCCATGCTGCTCTTACAAGCTTTTTGTAAGGCTTTTTTGTATTTCGTACAGTGACATAAGAAAATATTATTGTATTTAAGAGTATCAGTGGCTAATATCTCAGTGAGTCATTGCTGTAACAGCATGAGCGTAAGGGAAAGGGGACTAAGGAGTTTGAATTCTAGTGCTTCTGATTTAACAAGGCACGTTGCTTTCTTGTGGCTAGACTTTTGGGGTCAGTCAGCTGCATGTGACACTCAGGATGCCGTGTGGCAGGATCACGTACATCATAAGCACCGAGAGGTCTTTCAGAGCTGTGCCTGTTACTGCACATTCTAAGTGACAGAAATAACTGCTATGGAATACTCGGATTTATTACAGATTCTGTTTCTTCCTAAATTTTAATTGCACAACCTAAATAAATGTATTGGCATGTAAATGACACTGAGAAATCTCTTATTACAGAAGAGCCTCACCCAGAAGAGAGCACAGAAAACCAGCAGAATGGTGAAGAAGGAACATCTATCCCAGATGATAAGGAGAGTGGCCAAGAAGGGGTTGATAGCACTGCAGAGGAGGGAACCAGTGATAGCAACACTGGTTCAGAGAGCAATAGTGCGACAGTTGAAGAGCCTCCCGCAGACCCTATCACTGAGGATAGCGAGAAGAAAGAATAAATATTGACTCATTTCATGTGTCTCTTTTTAATGAAGTACTGTTTTGATTTCAAAATGTGCTACGCGGCTTTTGTATCTTCCTTGCCTGTATCACTTGTCTCCAAAGGATACTGGGTTTTAATAACATGTCAGGTTATCAGCATAGTGTTTTAAAGGGGCCTTTAGAGGCAAAGGATATCTTACAACAGACAGAAAATAAAACCTCGTGTCTAAACACAGCTGTACAATATGGAGAGATGCTATTGCTTGGGATTTCTTCCCTGGAAAGATAGCATTGGGTTTGGGTTTTGTATTAGAAATCAGGCCTTCTCCCTTTCGTCTAGTTGTGAAAATGCAGTCTTTCTTAAAGGCCCTTCTCGTTCGTCTGCGGCTGAAGTGCGATGCGGACGTGCACCACCCCTCTGCTGTAGCCCTCCTGAGCTGGCTTTGCTGAGGGACTGACTGCCCAACGCATCTGGTTAGTGCACCGTCGTTTGCAGCCAGGACAGCAGTGCTGCGGTCATGGAGGCTGATGAAGCAGCACAGTTGAGAAATGTGGTTAATAGCACTCGCTTTCTAGAGAAGTTAGAATGTTACTGAGGCATCTTAAAGTTGACGTTAGTATTGAGCAAAGACGTGATGCCTGTACTGGGTATAACCTAGAGCACTTCCTTGATAACAAAACCAAAAAACCCCACAGCAGCCTCGTGCGGGGGCTAGCAGCCTAGCAGCTGAACCCCTGCTCCAGCTCTTGCCAGCGAGGACGTCTACTGCAGCTGCCCAGTTCTTTGCTTTTAAAGAAAGCTTTCAGTACTCATGAGTAGTGCTCCTAAATAATGCTGAAAGACTTGGTCTTGGGGGGGGGGTTTGGTGTAATCTTTGTTGTCTTTTATAGAGTAGCTGTTCTACAGCGATGGAAACTTGCTCATGTTCTGCATGCAGCATTTCAGGAGATCCATTTCCAAAGGTCTGAGTATAGTCTTGAAGTAAATGACATATCTTAGGGGTTTCTTCTGTGATGCGGGATTCTTTTCAACAGCAGCCTCTGCTTTTCTTTACCAATTAACTCCTTTATTTGCTACTAAGATACCCTGGTATGACCTCAGCCAGAGATACGGCAAAGTACAAAGCAGGAGAGCATTTAAACGCATACATGTTCTCTGAGCAGGCAGTCACTAATACGGCACAAATGGTAAAAAATAGTAGTTTTGCTTGCCATGAGCTTTCAAAACCTCTGGGAACTCTACAAATGTACTGAAAATGCCACTTTTTGCCTATTTAAGCAGAAGCCCTACTGAGGAAAAAAATACACCTAATTGCAACAACAGATACAAGTGGTTCCATGACTTTACAACTATAAGAGGACACATGATGCATATGCTTCAATAAACTAGTATGTTTTTACAGAATAGTGGGTATATCAGATGGTAATGGTTTTTTTTAAATCCTTTTGGTCTTTTTTTAAATGGTCTAAAAATAATAAAATCCAATGTTTGGTTTTTTTAAAACTTACAGTGGTCTGGTTCTTGTCTTTTAAGGTAATGCCTGTATTTGATTTAGGGCTTTCATCAGCTGTTCTCCATCTTAAGCCCAGAGGAGAATAAAAACACGGAATTCATTACTGAAATATACTACATACAAGAAGTTATGCTGCAAAAGCACTTTCAAAACCAAAGTAAAAATTCCTGAGTTGGTCTAGGCTTTTGTTTAAATGCTGGCTGTGGGATCTCTGATGATGGCTGTTGACTTCAAAAGCCAACGAATGGGAGAATTTGTAGAGGAAATAATATAAGTATTAGTGAACTTGTAATCTCTTTGCCCGTAAGCTTTTAGCCACCTCCTGCCAAATTATCAGAAATAATTTTCATGTTACTTTAAACCAAGAGGTATGAATTTACAGAAAGTATCATACTTGCAAGATACAAAGAGGAAGATGCAACTGTGGCCCAAATACTTAGTATCTGAAGCCAATTTTTTCTGCTGATCAACTGTGCATTCTCCCTCAGTTCACAAGATTTCGTGAGCTGACTTGGGCCTTTATTTCTGCTTGGAAGCGGTTATTAAACCAGGCGCTGTCTCGTATACGTATTAAATAGCTGCTTCAGTGTCTCTGCCTCATAGTTCGCAATTCCATTTCGTACTCCAAGGTAAGTAAATCTTTTGGCAGTTGGTGCTGAGTGGAAGTTCCTTGTTCGAGTCCCTGCTGTCGATCTTGGAATGTGCTGGTTCTTCTATGAAATAGTATAATTTAGTGCAATTCTAGAGAACTAATTTAATTCCTTTCTGTAGATGTGAAGACTAACCCCCACAAACAAATGTGTGCCAGGCTCTGCGCGGCACCTTCTTTTCCCCAGTGGGCAAATCTGAACATGCCTGTTCAGGTGCTGACGGAGGACGTAGATGTGAACAATCGAACCAACTCCTACAGACGGGGTTACAGCTTACTCAAATCTGCAAACGTGCGGCCACTTTTATCTGCCAGCGACTGCTGCTGAAAAGATTGTTGCAAACAATGGAAATGAGGAAGAAAGAGAAATCACCGATGGCAGCCTTCCTCTTACGAGCACTGTCACACAATGAGCTACGTAAGTGGGAAGGCTTGCATTTTCCTCATCTTTTAAAGAAAAGTAGGAGCTCCGATAATAATGTGTTTGCAAAAGGGTGTTACTTTGGACACAAAAATGAACCCTCTTATGAGGAAACAGAAACCATGGCTGCTCCTTTCTTTGGGTTTTAAAAATTTGAAGCAGTGAAACCTGCCTAAAAATTAAATTCAAAATTTCAGTTTCTTGGAAGAGCGGGCAAGTTGTTCTTGCCGTTATGCTTAAGCATTTGCAGTTGTACTAGTTAAATTGCATTTTAGGAGTTTCTGTTTCCAGCAATTAAAAGGATTGCTTTTAGAAAAATACATCCTGAGGCACAAGAAGAGGGGAGCTACCATTTGAAGCAGTGAAACCTGCCTAAAAATTAAATTCAAAATTTCAGTTTCTTGGAAGAGCGGGCAAGTTGTTCTTGCCGTTATGCTTAAGCATTTGCAGTTGTACTAGTTAAATTGCATTTTAGGAGTTTCTGTTTCCAGCAATTAAAAGGATTGCTTTTAGAAAAATACATCCTCAGGCACAAGAAGAGGGGAGCTACCTAGTGACCCATTTTGGTTTTACATTTCATAACTAACTGTGCCAAAAAGCTAGTAATTAAGAGAGAAGGGTTATTTGTTCCACTAACTCATTAGTCTGAGGAAACTCACATCACCAAAAAGAACAGACGAAGGTTGAAATACAGTGTGTGAAAATTTAGATCTGCAAGTACCTTCAGCTAGATAGTCTCTTGCTTTGGGTAAAAAACAAACCGATTAAGCAGACATCAGATACATACTTGTTTTATGGAATAAGGCAGTTCTTTCAATAATTTAAAACTTTCAGATTTTCAAAACTGAAGGCAAAACTTAGAAAAGATTGCACAGCCTGTCCTGCACAGAAAGATCTGAGCGATCACTTGTCCTAAAACCTCTCCCCAAGCTACACAAGTACTTTATTTGGATCGCAGAATAACCAGCGTCGTGGAAGCCTGTCGAGCATGAATTCGTTTTCTCCTACTAGAGCACAGACTCCTAAGCCTAAAACCTCTGTGTGCTCGTTAGTTTCTAATGTGGCCTCTTCACGTTCATGCAATAACCCCAGTCAAGACTGAATGGTTTTATTTTCCTTTAATTTCAGCCTGTCCAGTTGCTCAGATACACAACTTGTTTACAGAGGCCATGGTGTGACTTTTAACTGAGAAACCAGTAGCATTTGTGTTGAAATTGTGAGGAGTTCTTTGTTAAAATCACATTATTCTAACCACAGAAGTCCATAAAAAGACAAGGCTGTTGCCCTTATGTTTAAAGTTGAAGTTCTCTTTACCACACTGCATTTTCAGAAAGGTAATTCAGATTTAAAAGAACAAATGGGATCACTCATTCCTGTTTGTTCTATTCCCTTAATTCCATCCTGGGATCTGTTAGCGCTCCAGATCATGCAGAAACTAATGGAAGAGGTGTTCCCGTCAGCTGAGCTCCCTTTAACAAACCATTTTGATTATAGACAGAGATTGCTTTACATCTTAAGCTACACATCTGAAGATTTATTTACTGCATCTTGCTCTTCTAAAAAATCATTTTCTTGAATGATTGTTGCTGCCAGCGTAAAGCTTTGATTTCTTAAATGATACCAGCTGCTGCCTGGACTGGGGGCCTGACCACACAGGGGCTCGGGTGGAATGGGTTGGTGCAGGAGCAGGAGGAGACTCCACACCTCAGGTGCTGCAAACGCTTGTTGTGCAAGTTTTTATCTGTGCAACAGCCTTGGCTTTGAAGGCCGTTTGTGCTTTTCATCTGCTACATATTCTCAAGGTATATGTAAATAACAGTAATTATTGGCAAAGACAGCGTGTGTTGCAGCTAAGGGTGTGTACCCGAATGAGTAGGTGCCATCTTCAAAGGTACAGTAACTTCTCCAAGCACATGAAAACCTCCTGAACCGATGCCCAGTGGGTAGCATTCAAACCACTGACCAACCCCCGTGGTGTCTGGCGGAGGTGCCCACAAGGGACATGAGCATCAGGGACCAGGTGCCGGAGAGGGACCTCCTCGAGGGACCAGCCTCGTGAGAAACCCAGCTCCTTTGCCGTGCTCCTGTGACAGCCCTGCTGTCTGATCCCCCGCTGCTCCTTAGGCTGCAGCTGGGATCAGGAGCCTGGTGCCCGTTTGACACCTCCAGCTGGCTACCCACCAACCACCCCTGATAGAGAGCAGCTGATCGGCGCCCCTGATGAGCCAGCACACCCACCTGGAGGCCCTCAGCAGGACCTGAAACCCTCCCACGAGGCAGATGGAGCAGATAAAGCCCACCAGCTTGTTGTGCCTTTGCTGCTGGGCTTACTGGAGTTGGCTGGCTGCTTCCTCTGATTCTTGCGTGCTTTGGTAAGTGGGTGGAAGCTCCTGGGCCCCTGGGGCTCCTTCTTTCTCCAGCTGTGGTGAGTGTCCCCTGGCTTCTCCTGTGGGGAGGTGGGTGCAGGCTGGGGGGGGGGAACTGCTGAGGGT